TGATTTTTGAAATTTTTTTGCTGACGATCTCGTGTTGTGTTTATCGTTACTTTAATGTAGAAAGACCTCAGCTCATTTTCTTTCGGAATTCAGCTTGTACAAAGGTCGGTAGATAACTCACTAAAGGCCTAATAGAATTTAAAAACAACGACTGCATCAATAAACTGGGTTCAGTGTTTATTAAAACATACATACACACACATATACATATGTATGTGCATAATAGCATAATTGTTTACAATCGTGTGTGCGTATTAACAGTCTCAACATTTTGCTCACAGTGTTTACGTGGGAAATATAAAAACCTAGAATTATAAAGACACGATCGTCGGCTATCAACACTTCAAGTCTTCAAGTACCTCCCTTAGTGAGAGTCTTACTTCAAATGGCAATTTCAATTAACACATTTACTAATTGAGGCAATATAATGAATTTAGTATATCTCCCAAACGTGTTGAGTTGTTTACGGTTTTCTAATTGTAATTTCCAATGTAAAGTGTGTCTATACATATGATTCTAATATTAGAGATCTTTTGTAAATTTCTTATGTGAAGTGTATGTGAAATAAAATACCTTGTACATATACGAGAATGTTGAAATAATGATTATTTATACATTTTTCTTGTTCAAGTGTAAGGTGTCTTATTTTATAGATAATCATATCCACAACCATTGGTCTCGACGGAATATGCATGCTGATTTTGAAAAAATTGGGTCCGTCGGTTGGAGCATACGCTTCCATTGTTCGATGTTGGCGTCCGGAAATAGAATTCATGACGTCCCGAAAGTAAATGGCCACCTGTCTGAACCATCCAGAAATCAACGGCGAGCACCGCATTTGTTAATATATGTAATACATAACCGCAACAAGGAGCTAAGTCGCCCGCTGGCAACACCTGAGGCAAGGACAAAGAGATGGTGTCAAGTTGGCACTACTTACATTCTAAGTACTTACTAAATTTTTGCCGAAAAACGAAAGCTAAGCATTTTTTCTTTTCCCAACAAATTTGCAAGTCAAAAGCGACAATTAATGTAACATGCCATTAGTAGGGTATTCGATTATTCGTCTTTTTTCAAAACCGGTTTTCGAGTTACTTATTCGAAAAATTGCAATTTAAAAAAAACGGTTCCCAATTCTGAAATTAAGAAAACCCGGATAAACCGATTTTATTTTACATAGTTTTCATACAGAGAAAATGCTTATGTTGGTGTGAAGTCATGACCAAAAATTACGATAAAACTATTAACGGTAAAGATAACTTTTATTTAAAAAACAGTAAAGTAAAATAATTTCAAGGTTTGTTTTAAGAGAAAAAGTAAAACAAATAAAAATCAGTGAAAAATTCACATTTGGTTTTATTTTAAAATTTGTAATACTCTATTGCATTTATTTTGACTTTTTTCGGATCTGAATAGTGCTCTTGCCGCCGTAGCCGGGAGGTTCATGGCTCGAGTTCTGCCCCCAAGAACATCAAAAAAAAGTCTCGACAGACAATGGCAAACATCAGTTTTTGCAATTCCCGGAGCTATAATGTTGTATTTGTTATTGACGTTGTTGCCGTTTGGCCCAGCATGTTAAATTTTACCTCTCTGAACTTGGCAGGACAACTTTTTCTCAAAGCAAAAATTCCTATCGCATAATTTGCCGTAAATTATCCGTTGTTTATCCGTGAAAAGAATTATCTTGCCGCGGAAACATTTTTAAAAAAATATCGAGTGCCCTGCTAACTTCCGTGGAAGCAAAATAATTCTTTTCACGGATAATTTACGGCAAATTATCAGATAGTTAGTTTGGGTTTAGCTGGTTTCCTTCATTGGTTTTCAGAAGGTGCACTGCTAACTTCCACGGAAGTTAGCAGGGCACTGGATATTTTTTAAAATATGTCCGCGGCAAAATTATTCTTTTCACGGATAAACAACGGATAATTTACGGCAAATTATCAGATAGTTAGTTTGGGTTTAGCTGGTTTCCTTCATTGGTTTTCAGAAGGTGCACTGCTAACTTCCACGGAAGTTAGCAGGGCACTGGATATTTTTTAAAATATGTCCGCGGCAAAATTATTCTTTTCACGGATAATTTACGGATAATTAACGGCAAATTATGCGATAGGAATTTTTGCTTTGAGAAAAAGTTGTCCTGCCAAGTTCAGAGAGGTTTAAATTTGTTGAGCATCCCTGCTTTAATCAAGAAAGCGTGAGCCAAAATTGTCAAATCAGCTGTAATATTTTATTTATTTTTTTATTTTATTTTTTTTAATCTTTTACTCAGCCATCGATATGTAAAAATGTAAAGAGACAGAATTCATAGATAAGCTGTGCCCACGGTTGCCATATTTGTTCCATTTGGACCAAATCTGGTTCCATAATTTTTCGTTTTTGCAAAATGGTCCGTTTTCTAATTCAATAAATATTTAATACTTTCTATATATTTCGTAGAAGCGCCGTTTTACACTGTTTCGTTTGTGTTCTAAGCGTACCAATTAAAATGGACACAGAGAAAATTTTCGAACGTACTTTGTATGGAAGAAAATGCGTGACACTGTCAGCACAAAAAAAAAATCAAAAATCAACGGGGTTTTCACCAACTTGAAACTTGCACTTTTCTATACTAAAACATAATGGCCTGCATCGCAGAATGCCGATTTTTTGTGTAAATATTCTGAATAAAAAGTTTTAAACTTGTCAAATTTTTATAATTTCTGCACAAAGTTTGAAAATTGGACTTCTATAGTTTTTGTTAGTTGAGATATACTTTTATATGTAACTTTAGTAGAGCTTGACGACAACGATTGAGGGACTAACCGATCTAGCCGCTACAACAACAACAACAGTCAAAACTTCTCAAAATGTCGCGGCCCTATGAATTTGTCAGACAATATACATAAATCCAAAGAATTGAAATACTTAAGTATTATTTTCTTGCGTTTTTATATAATTTTTAAATATATACATACATACTAGGAATGTTAATCCCGGGATTCCGGCTTTTTTACGGTCCCAAAAATTCCGGAATTCTTGGCATTCGGGATTTGTAATTTGCACTGATGGCAATAAAGAAACTCTTTTTCCATGGCTATATTTCCTTTTTTATTTAATAATTAATATTTTTTATAAATGTCTAGCTCATTATGCATATAAAATATACTGCGCAATAGTAAATTTTAAACACAAATGTCAATATATTCGTGAAACCATGGGTCAAATTTAGTAAAATTACGATTTTAGTTTTTCACTCTGACGTCAGTAATTCAAAAATGATTTAAAAAATTCAGAGAAATGTGCTTAGAGAAAAAGTATGGGTATCAAATTAAAGAGGAAATCCTGTAGAACTTAGACCGATTATAGTTTTTAGTGCAGAGGGACTAGTAAGTATTGAAAATGTCCGCTTAATTTTTATCCTCAAAATTTCGCAATATTTGTTTTTGAAAAAATTACCTATATGTTAAGGACTTATATAAACTCGATAACGTCCTCGAATTTCGTCCTTCTAACTTCATCAGCTTAAAAAATTAAAAAAATTCGTCCTTGCGAAACCAAAAAAATTTTTTTTTTTAATACTAAAGAAATTGCCTCTTGCATTTGGTACCATTATTTTTATTCTACATAGCATTGAATTTTTCAATAAATTGTGATAACGACATCCCGAAAATCCCGGGTTCGGAAAAAGCTGAAAAATTAACATCCCTATTGCATACACATGCACGCATATAATTTAAATGTTAATAAATGTTTGGCCCCTTCATCGAAATGGTACTTTTTTAATTTATTTTGAGCCCGAATTTTTATGTATTTTTGTTATGTACTTTGAGTTGTTTATCACTCCTTACAACACATTCAGCGCTTGGCGAAGCCTCGCGCATACGAGGCCGGCTAGTCTACCTATAAATTAAAACAAGGTCTCTAAACATTTGTTTAAGCTTTTAAAGTTACACATTTTAAAGTTAAAGACATACAAGAATACGATACTTACGACACCGTTGTGAATCCCTCACATATGTCCAACTCTTGGGTACTGTTTGCGTATTTGTACAAAGATTTTGGGGTGTTGTGCCCAAACACGTAATTCGAATCAAAAAACTTTTACACACACTTGTAGACAACAGTTCACGCTACAAAAATAAAATTTACTATGTCTGTGCACTAATTTATTAAAAATGTCGGTTGGAAATATTGTGTTTCCTGAAAATTTCCGAGCTGACCTTTCAAACAATAAAAAAAAATGCCAGAAATATCTCTGCAAAAGGTGTTCAGCCCCTCTTCTTCGGCAACACAGAAAGGAGGATTCTACTTAGTGAGGGTTATAATCCTTTTGCAAAAAAAATCCAAATTTCCCCTATATTCAAACAGCTCCCAAGGGGCCTGTGGCGCGGTGAGGGGGAGGAGGGGTGACTTTTCATAAAGCGGCGTCCATCCTCTTTCGTTTCAGGGGGCTTTATATATATTTCTTATTTTTTGGAATGAAGTTTTTCTATAAAACAAGCAATTTTAAGCAAAAAACACAACCGACCTCAATTCTGATATTATAATTTAAGAGTACCGTTAATGTCTTCAAGATCCAATGATCGGATCTAAATAAAATTAGTATGGGACCACCTGTGAGACATTACCTTTCCGATTATCGAAATCGGTTAACGTGGTCCAAAGTTATGCGGTATCTAACATAAATAAAAAAATATTCAGACGAATTGGTAACCTTCTCCTTTTTCGAAAGGCGGTTATCAAGTAATAAGTGTAAGTGAAAATTTAATTTGATTCGTTCTCGATTTTTCGGTTTTTTGGTGTTTCTATAATTCGGTAAAGCGAAAAGATCAGGTTTTAATCAAATTTTTTTAATCGGTTTAAAACCTGAATAAAAAACTGTGATTAATCAAAAAACCGAATCTTTGGAAACGGTGCCCATCCCTAATATCCACTGCACGAACAGTCTTTTTGTATGTATGTAAATTCACTCACGAGATTCTTTAATATTCTGTTTTTATTTATGTATACTTTGATCTTACCTTCTACAAACTGCATTTATGCTTCGTTCTCTTCAACTTTACTTGTTCCTCTTCGCTTTAACTTGGCAACGTTTTATCGGTATCGATTGTGGTATTTTTGTCGTTGTTGCAAGATTTTTTGTCACTATTGTTTATATTTATTACTTATACTTCGACACATGTTTATTTGTACCTTTATGTCCATTTCACAGCTATTTACTCGTTGCTGCTAGGGCTACAGGGTATTTAAACGGAAACAATTATTCGTTGAAACAATGCCGACGGCATAGAAGTCCAAGTTGCCACGAAACTTTAATCTTTTTTTAAGCCACCACCTGTTTCGTGATTGTAATAAACATTTTAATCAGTGCTCCAAATATAGCACGGCATCTCACATGCACACTTTTTTATTGGTACTGCTGATGGAAATTCTTCCAAGATATTTATTCCATACTTCACTGTTTGGACTTTGCTCCGATTAAGTATGGCGGTGATTTTTTTTCAATACCGACTTTGTATTAAATTTTCTTTTGTAGCATATATGCATGTGAATTTCGCACTTCTACTTTGAATTTCTGTTTTATCGTGGAATATCAATCAATGCGGCAGTCACTTCCGCTTCATGTTTTATTAAATTTTATATCCTTTCAGACGCACATCACAATTGACTTCTCTTGATTTGCACGCTGACCATCTTTTTCTTGCATTTGCTTTCCACCACTTTTCAGCGCACTTCTCTATAAACTCCACTCACACAAATAACCAGCTCTACCATTTTCTGCTTGCCGTTGCAATTTGCTTTCGGTGCATTTTGCACCCACCCTCAACCATTTATTTTGGCCGAGAAAGTTTATTTATATACTTCGCTATTGATTTGATAAACTGAATATGCATTAGAATAATTGGTGAATGAGTATCCATTATAGTAGAAAATTACAAATATTTTTCACCCATTTACTAATGAATTTTAATTGAAAAACGCAAGGTATTCACACACAACATCTTGACACATACTTCTTTATCCAAGCGAAAACGAAACACTGAAGTTTTTAAAATGACGAACATGCAATTAACCGAAACGTTGCTAAAACTTCAAAGCAGGCAACTCTGAAATTAACAAGGGTTCAAACTCGCTCATATTTAACAGGTAGTAGCAGACTTGATTTTTTTCGTGCTTTTAAGCTGATGTCACATAAAATTTTGCTTCGCTTTACGTGACAGATTCGCTTTGACAGATAAGATGAATTGTATGCAAATGCACAAAGCATACCACAAAGATCGTTGAAGCTGCAGCGCGAAGCGAAATTATGGCCAGCTCTCATCTTTTGCGCGCTTTGACAATCAGCCGGTTTAATATTTATTTTGTTTCGTCCAAATTCGAGTTTTCACGTAGACGCATAAAACTTAACTACATTGTTGATATTTTTAAAGCAAAATATATAAAATACACAGCAATTTCGACGAGTAAAAAAGCAGTACAAAATTGTTTTCTTGGCGTTCATTGTGGCGTACCTCTTGCGCCTGGCGCTTTGCTGGCAAAGTTATAAAGCTGATGTCACATAAAACTTTTGCTTCGCTTTACGTGACAGATTCGCTTTGACAGATAAGATGAATTGTATGAAAATGCACAAAGCATGCCACATAAATTGTTGAAGCGGCAGCGCGAAGCGAAAAGATGGTCAACTCCCATCTTTTTGCGCGCTTTGACAATCAGCCGGTTTAATATTTATTTTGTTTCGTCCACATTCGGGTTTTCATGCAGAAACATAAAACTTAATTACATTGCTGATAATTTTAAATCAAAATAATTAAAATCCACAGCAACTTTGATGAGTAAAAAAGCGGTACAACATTGTTTTCTTGGCGTTCATTGTGGCATACCTTTTGCGTCTGGCGCTTTGCTGGCAAAGTTATAAATGTCACGCAAAGCTACAAAGTTTTATCTGGCATCAGCTTTTGTCTTGCTGTCATCTCTAATTTGGCGCGTCCAGCGCTAAGCAACTGTCAAAAGTGCTCATGCCCATACAATACACGGTGCAGCGAACAAAGGTGGCGCCGTCAGTGGTACCGCTACTTTGGTTTTGCCGATTTTGACAGTTGTGGTAACTAGTAAATAAACCTTTGTCTACAAATCAGCGAAAGAGAAAGTTGAATTATAAGTGAAAAATCAGTCTAAATTGTGTTAATTTGCAATTTGTGAGTGATTTTTGAGTTGAACACTGCGTAAAAACTAATACAATGAAGTGCTGTGTGTTATATTGCGACAGCCGTCAAGATGCAAGAAGCATAGATGCAAGTGTAGCGCTGAGACGAATCCCTGCATTTTGTGTACATAAGGCACGGCAAAGCCGTTCCCGAAATGTTTATCTATTATTATATTAACAGCATTTCCTCACAATGATTTTGTTTCTGCTCCACGCAGCCTCCATTAGCAAGTTAACTAATCAATCCCGCAGAGATGCTGCTGCAGTTTTCTGCAGCAGCCTTAATTGCAAAGGAATGGAGTGCACTAAAACGTTTAATGTTGGCTTTGGATTCGCATACGTCTCTCGCTTAGTATACATGCCCCGCAATCTGCTGATGATTTTCAACTTTTCGAGGTGCTCACCAGATGCGTATCCAACTGCCAAGTGAGCCAACCTCTCAATCTCGGAGGCGAATTCCTGTAAAGACTCGTTAGATTTTTGGTAGCGATTCTCCAACTCTATCCAGTAAATTTGCTTCCTGTGCACGCTACCATAACGTCTCTCCACGGCACTCATCAACGTATCATAATTGTTCCTCTCATAGTCAGTAATGGTCTGCAAGATTTCCGCTGCAGGTCCTTTTAGTAAAACAAATAGCGCAGGGGATTTATCGTAGATAGTCCACTTGTTTGCTGTAGCCATTTTTTTTCGAACTGGAGTTTAAATACTTGAAAAGGAATCGTGCCATCAAAGGATGGAGTTTTTACCTTGGGTGCGTTCGTCGAATTGCCTGGACGATTCAACTGCAAATCTCGGAGACCACCTTCCAACTCGTTTACTTCAGCCTCAACTTTCGCCTTAATTAGTTCCTCGATTTTGTCTTGCCGCTCCTCGATTTTATTTTGCCTCTCTTTGAGTTCCGCACTATCTTTGACTAAATTCTGCCGAATCTGTGTGATCTGTCCTTCCACCTGGGACGACACGCGTGTTTCCTGTACTTGTACCTGTGATGAAATCTCCGACATACGTGTATCCTGCGATTCCTTCAGCGAAGAAATTGCAGCCAATGACATGCCCATCTCCACAGCGGGAGCCTGTTTCTTTTCTCCAACCTTCCTAGATATCTGTTGCACATCCTTCGATGAACGAGCAGCCTCTACCTTCTGTTCGTCCTTCGTGGATGTCGCGTCGTCCTCGCGATGGAAGTCGTATTTGTCAACGTCGATACCTTCCACTTCCATAGCCTCTCGCAGTCGTGATACTAACTCCACTTTTCTTCCGGAGGTTGCTCGATTTCGCTTCTCCAACTTCTGTTTGAGTTCCTTGATCTTAAAGTCTTGAATTTTTGGCCATTTTTGGAAGTTTCTCCTCTGAGATTTATTTAACAGTCCCAATTCTGACACCACTTGTCACGATTATCCTTGACTAGTTGATGGATTTACCAAAATCCTTTCGGTTCATATCGCTGGATTGTTAAATAAACGCTCATGATGACCAAAGTACTATGATCTTCATCATTCATTCAGCATCAGCATGGTTTCCGTAAAGTGCACAGTACAACAACAGCACTTAACGCCATAAATGCTCACATAACTCGTGGCCTTAACCGTAAACGTCCCTGTGAGAGAACGATTCTAGTAGCGTTGGACCTGTCAAAGGCTCTTGACACTGTCAGCCACTTCAGGCTCAAACGGTGGTCAGCAAATTATCTGAGTGGTCGACACTCGTCGGTAATGTTTAGAGACAAATCGAGCAAACCTAGAAAAATAAAACAGGGGGTTCACAGGGTCGTGTCCTTTCCCCGCTGCTGTTTAACTTTTACATTTCAAAGCTCCCTCAACCACCAGAGGCAGTCTCGATTGTCTCTTACGCCGACGATTGCTGGCGACTGGGAATGGAATTGATGACCTGTGTTCGAAAGTAAACGGATATCTCTCCGAACTTTCTCGCTTCTTCACTGCAAAGTGTCTAGCCCTCTCCTCTACGAAATCCTCTGCGACCCTGTTCACAACCTGGACGAAGGAGATCTGGAATTCGCGTCGATGACACACCAATTCCGACGGTGAATAACCCCAAAATACTCGGAGTAACATTCGACAGCCTGCTCTCCTTCTCTGCGCACGCAACCGCTATTGTCAATAAAGTACAGAGCCGCAACAAGGTCCTCAAGTCGCTAGCCGGCAGTACTTGGGGCAAAGGCAAAGAAACGTTGCTGGCAACATACAAGGCAATAGGCCGGCCGGTTTTGAACCACGCAGCGCCAGTGTGGTCGCCGGGGACTAGTAGGACGCAGTGGACGAAGCTACAGACTGTACAGAACACCGCACTCAGGACAGCGACAGGATGCCTCCTGATGTCGCCCGAACACCATCTCCACGGCGAGGCGCAAATGCTCCCCGTAAAGGAGCACAACATAATGCTCTGCAAACAGTTCCTGATCGGGAGCCACAGAAGTGGCCACCCAAACAGACAGCTGCTTGTAGAGGAGCCCTCGCCTAGGCACGTCAAGAGGCATCTATATGAACTGACGGACGAAGTCCAGAGGTTCATCAAGCAAGCTCTGGACCCGTCAGCTTACCGACTGGCCCTGAACGGCATTCACAGGGAGTCAGTCTCGAGCTATGTATACTCTAGACCTGTGAATGCCCTTCTAGGCATACATCTCCCGGACACAGATGAGACGGAGCTTCATCTGCCTCGGGAGACATGAACGACACTAGCACAACTTCGCTCCGGCTACTGCAGCAGGTTAAACTCCTACTTGAGTAGGTTGAATGAGGATGTGCCGAATGAGTGTCCGGCATGCGGAGAGACCCCACATGACTCGAAACATCTCTTCGCATGCCCGGAAAACCCGACAACCCTAACGGCCTTGTCCCTGTGGACCAACCCCACAGAAGCTGCACGCTTCCTAGGGCTGCCGTTAGTGGAACTTGACGATAACGACTGAGATACCAACCGTCCTGGGCGGGGTTGTTGTAACCGCTACAACAACAACAACAAGCAATGACAGACTAGGTTCGTTCGCGTAGCTGTTAATTGTTCATGTTTAACTAAAACTTACAAGTTTTTGCGTTCGCGTACGCAAAAAACTTGCAAAGTAGGGGAAATTGAGAGAGCAAACTGACATTTCATTTTGAGGGGAAGCTGCTGGTTTCTGCTGGAAAAATTTTTGCCAACAGGAAAACAGCTGATTAAAAACAGCTGGTGGGCATTTACGCAAATCACAAAATTGAATTTGATGGTTTGGAAGATAAAAATTACAAAATGCGACTAATTAAACTTGTAAGAAATAAGTAGTTATTTGTTTAATCAATAAACTGTGTCAGTATAACACTTTGCGATGACTTTTCGTACGTTTTAAATTTTACACTTTTGTATGTAAACAAAAATTATATCAGCTGTTCGTCTAACTTGCAAGTTTCTGCAAATTTTCTGTTCGCGTACTATTTTGGATATTTCTCTCTTGTGAGAGAACAGATGACATTTCGCCGAAATTTGGCAGTTGGTTGGTTTCTGCTGGAGATTTTAAACGAACGCACCTAATATATGTTTGTGTATACATTCATTTGTCAGTGCTACTAAAGTTCTGCCTATTATCAGTGGCCCGTAGTCATAGTCAAAATAAAGTCGACTTTAAAGTTAGTTGCAGCTTTTTGACATAATTTTCAATGGGATATCTGTCAAAAAAGCTGCAACTAACTTTAAAGTCGACTTTATTTTGACTATGACTACGGGCCAATGAAACAAATTTTTATCGGGATACGGATCATTTCGCGCGAAAACACAGCAAAATGTGCATTGGATTCGCCTTGGCTACAGTGTTGCCGTGCAGTGTGTCGGTGTAGTACACAATCATCGGTGTCAGCGCAGTAGCGACTCTGTATTGCCCAGCAATAAAACGAACACAGGTTGAAAATTCTCCAATCGTCGTAAGTAGCATAAAACCGTGTACAAAAAAATATAGCTTTATGTTTATTTAACATTCTTGTTTAGAACTCTCGATTGCAAAGGCGCCTAAGAAGGTGTCCTGACCATTACTCTAGTTGAATAGCCGGGGATTGGAACCAACAGAAGAAAAATATATGTATATGGCACTAGCGCATCAATGAAGTAATTTCTAAGGCACGGAATTTTAATAAAAAATAACCAAAAATGTCCAATTTGCAACGCACTATTCTCAAAAATCGTCTCCCACCAACTATTCCTGGTGGACGCATCGGTAGAAGGTATGGTTTAGTTGTAGACTTTAATAGTCGGTTGTTTCGAACACTAAACTTTTTTTCAGTGATTCATTCAAAAAGTCTCGAATTCGAGATTTCAAACCGACACTTTGGAGCGATTTCTTTGCTGAAAAGGAAGATGTAATTTTGGATCAAAATCGCACTTTTCGTGTTTACCGCACAAAGCTACCGCAAAAGGCAGGACCAGTTCTATTGCTACTGCACGGCGGTGGATATTCTGGATTGACGTGGTCACATTTTTGCGTAATATCTCAAATCTCTAAATTAACTCCGTTAAAACTCATTGCTGCATCTATTTCAGGTGGAGATAACGCGTATTATTAATTGCCAGTGTCTTGCAGTCGATCTACGCGGTCATGGTGATACCAAAACAGAACAGGAAGACGATCTCTCTTCAGATACTCTAGCCCAGTAAGAAACACTTGTAATTATAGCGACATATGGATGATAAAACAAGATTTTTGTAGAGATATAGGTGATCTTGTGCTAAAGCTTTACACGGAGGACATCCCACCCATTTATCTGGTTGGCCATTCAATGGGCGCCGCTATTGCTGTCCACATTGCACACAAGGCGCTCATCCCGAGCATAATTGGCATCACTGTAATTGATGTGGTTGAAGGTACCGCAATGGAGGCACTAGCTAGCATGCAAAGCTTCCTGCGTTCGCGTCCAACCCATTTTAAAAGTATACCGAATGCTATTGAATGGTGCATAAGAAGCGGTCAAATACGCAATGTGGATAGCGCGAAAGTCTCAATGCCGGGACAAATTATTAAGTAAAGTTTGAATCAGGGTAATTTTGGTAATGGCAGAAATATCTTACACAATGTCATATTTGTATTCCTAGTTGCACAACGAAACAGTTAGCTACAAATGAGCTACCTCTGGCAGACGATGATATCGACGATGGTGCTGCAGGAAGTTGCTTTACACATCCTTTCAGTATTTCCGAAGACGAAGAAATGGGCAACGATAACGGAACTGGCCCAACAACTTCTGTGGTCGCTGCCACTGCCTCTGGCAGCGAGAATGACAGTAGTTCTGATTCTACAGATTTTAAAAAACCTTGTACTATACCTGATGATACCCACAAGAGGTAATTAACACCCCTATTGCGAGTGTCGACTAGTAGTAGATAAACGACTGCTAGTCGATTATCGATTATCCGTGGTATTTTCAAAGTATTTTTCTTGTTAAATAAGTGTGTGTGAATAGTTTATAGTCGCCTATCCTTCTACAAACAAACAGTTGAAGAAAAATAAGCGATAAAAAACTATACAGTCGCTTATTGAACGAGAAATCGACATGCACAATACCAAGGAAAAGCGATAATCGAATAAGAGTCGTTTGATTATAAAGACTGTGTTGTTGTAACAACATGGAAATTGCCCAAAGGGGTTTTAGGAAGTACTTCTAGGGTGTACTATCCCTGATTAGATATATGAATTTAGTAGTGATAGTATTAGCCAGATATGAATCTGGTTGCTTACGTTACGTAGGCGCCGACTGTCATAGAAACGAACACATAGGCTATCCCAATGGATACAGTCTGTTACGCCACAATGGCTCTCGCAAAAATTCCTAAATGTAGTGGAAGTGATTGTAAATGCGGCTCATTAATTACCTTTCTTCAACAGGTATACTTGGCGTATAGACTTGTCCAAATCGGAAAAATACTGGGTAGGCTGGTTTACCGGGTTGAGTGAAAAATTCTTAAATTTGCGTGTTCCGAAACAACTACTGCTGGCCAGCATTGATGGCTTGGATAAGGCTTTAACAGTAGGTCAAATGCAAGGTGAGTTCATGGATGTAAGACGAACATTTTTAAATAAACTATATAGCAACTGTCTTTAACAGGACGCTTTCAAATGCAAGTTCTGGCTCGATGTGGACACGCTGTCCATGAAGACCGTCCGTACGAGGTAGCCGAAGTAATAAGTGGCTACCTCATACGAAATCGGTTTGCTGAAGCAGTTGGTGAATTTCACTATCACTTACCAGCATGTTAAATATTTCTGAGTGCCAATAAGCAGTAAAAGAAAATTGGTTGAATTAAGATGCTAAAACTAAACCTCGAGGAATGCCGTCAAACACAAGATCTTAAATATCTGGGTATATTCCACAAATATGCAGAAATTTTAAACGCAAAAATAATTATATTGAAGGAAATATTAATATTTAAAACTTGCATTACTTAATTGAAGAAATTTAAATAAATAATTTAACTCCATTGAACTAAGTCTGATCTTTAATAATTTCTTTGTATATTTGTATAATAACTTCAGCGTTTGATATGTACGTATGCATGTATGTATGTATATTGTGCTTAACTATTAAGAAAATGTCCACGCAGTTGCACTTCACCCTGCTCTTGTTGTGGTATGTAATTTCCCCGATCTTCGGGATGCAACATTTATGCAACACTGAGGCATATATGTATGTAATCTCGAAAAAGATCTGGCCCGGGTATTGAAAATCGTAATTTTCTTATAACATTCTGGAAATTGTATACTCTATTTTAAAACCATCGGTGATTACTAGGGACGCCTGGCATGCGGAGAAACGCCCCATGATTCAAAGCATTTCTTCGCATACCCACTGAACCTTATGAACAGACCCCATCGAGGCTGCACGCTTCTTGGGTCTACCGCTAGTAGAGCTTGACGACAACGATTGGGGGACTAACCGATCTGGGCGGGGTGGCTGTAGCCGCTACAACAACAACCAATGACGTTAAAAATGATACAAGTGAAATATACAGGAATAGGCACTAAAATTCACAAAAAGCCACGAAAAATTAGTTATATTAACATTGAACCACAAGGTGAATCTTGGAAATCGCGGGCAACAATTTTCATTCCATTATCGCTAAAGCTAATTATGAAATGTACAATTTAAATGGGGATCATTGGAAACATTAAAATTTTCAGAAATAAGGATAATGTGCACGCCCATTACTATTTTATCAACGGCCCTTAGTATCTCCAAACCTTTGGCTGAAAGAAAATCTTTGAATTCTTCCAACACGCGCTTCTATAAGCCGCTTCTGAATCTTATCCCAAAATTTTAAACATTACTTACATTGCAATTTTTAAATACTATTTTTTCACAGCGTAATTTTTGAATATGGACTTTTATTTTGAATGCATATTAAAACTTTTAAATCACTTAATTAAATGTGTATTATTTTGGAATCAAGGAAAGCTAAATTGTAATCACTCTTAGCAGAAAAAAGGAGACCTCAAAATATTGTCAGTACAATACTAGTCCAGAGCTATGCCCTTTAAACAGATTTTTTTTATTTTTATTTTGTTACCAATGTTGGCGGCATATGGTTTTATTGTTAGTTTCAGGAATAAAACAAAACTCTAAATAAATGTAGGTGAGCATATTTACATATCTGTGTTCGTTTGGAAAAGTAGCTTATGTCGAAAGGCTGGCTTTAGTATAATACGGCATTCCCTTTATTCTTTAAACAACAAGGAATTTTTGGATGAGACTTAACAAGAATATTGACTTGCCAGTATCGGAACTATTTCTTGCACGTTTATTTGCCAAAAGTTTTTCAACGGCTTAGCGCTGGTGAGTCAATGCCGATTTATACTAAAGCCAACCTTTCGACATAAGCTACTTTTCCATACGAACACAGATATATAAAGTTTGTCGTCCGATCGACAAAGTATATGTATGTATTCCTTTATAAGATTTGTGAATATAATTTTGCATGCCATTCTTTATTCCACGTATCGTATACCACACCTTTTAATCTGCATTTTCGCCTCTAACGCCTTTATGTGGCGTAACCGTTCGGCAATTTGTTCACGAACCTCGTTTCTAAAGCGCTTACCTTCGCCCAATTCTTCCATTTCCGCTAACCAGTTGGCCCGTTCATTGATTTGATCCAAAACTTAAATGTAGAAACATAAATTTCGGGTCACTCTTATATTGTATGTAAATATCATGTATGTATGTATGTATGTATGTATATATAATAGTAAACTTTACGTTCATCGATGAGGTTCTCCTCAGTAGCATTAAAGTCGTTCCTAGATTTTGGTTTTCGCTTTGCTTTCAGTGACGTCTCTGCCAAGCGCATACCTGACATGGCCTCTTGCAGCAGCTTCTTTTCCTTCTCGGTGGGCATACGATTCGTGGGCTTCGGACGATAAGCAGGTAGCTTGTAGGCATCGCTTGCCAATATTTGTTCGAGACTCTTTCGCTTGGCCAGACGCGCATGCCGTAAAATATCAAGTGCCCCAGCTTCTGGATCCTTCGTGTTAAAACGTGGAGGTTCTGGTTTTGGCAATGGTTCTCCGTTGCGTAAGTGATAGTTAATTTTTTTTCGCATCATCATCGACATTTTTGACTCAGCCATAAGAGCTGTAAAATAGTAAATTAATTGAAATAACCAGACTAATCTTTTTCTCTTTTATATATGTATGTATGGAATGTTATTGCACATTGAAATGTGAATGAGGACAAGAGGATCAGTATGTACGTATGTATATAGCCAAAACAATGTCCCACCTGTCAACAAATCGGCGGTTTCCTTGCTATACTCGAACTTGGGTGTGTGGAAAAGTCCACCTTGAGGAATGCGTTCGCTCGGCCACAATACAGCTTTGTTGTCCGAGCTGTATAATCGTGCATTCGTCTCTACAGCCGTCCCCTTTGGTCCTGTGGTTATTATGCTCTCACAAGGTTTACCTTCCATGGCTATAAATTTATTTATGTATGATTCTAACCACAGAGATCGAATAGCAACGGGTTGTCAATTTTATAAAATCAATCTGCTCGTATACGTCTTCAAATTAGGAACAAGTTTATTTCCAAGTAGATATAGTATATACATATGTGAACGTGCCTCTACATTGCATGTTCGTTGTTACTCGAGGATATGTTGTGCTCCAGTAAAAAAATGTTTTCTGATTTCTATAGCAACCGTTAACGAGAAATTACTTACCTTTGTGTTAAGGTTCAATTAAGCATACTTGGCTTTGCATAAAGGCTGGGACTATCGGTATATTCGGATATCCTTTCGAATATTGGCGTACAAATACGGATAAAATCCGTATATTCTTTTTTTATTCGGATATCCGTTCATTTGATTATTCCGATAATCTAAATAGTATTTAAACGCATTCGTAAAATTCAAACAAAATTACAGAATCTATCAAACTGAGAACTATATAATAGAACACCTCATTAGAACACAAACATTTGTTATTTTATTGTTAATTTTAAGATTCGAAAAGCCCGATATTCGGTTAATATCCCTTCAATTATTAATCAGATATTCGATTATCCGGTTAGTCAACAAAAAATCCGGTTAGAACTCCCAGCCCTATTTTGAATTGCGTAGACAAACGTCGTTTGAAAACATGCTATGCTACGCTAAGTATGCATAACCGAGCCTTGACACTCCAACCGAATGTAAACGAACGCCGTGCAATGGTTTGTTAGATTAGTATGCGCATTTTTCGGCAGATATTTGGCGGCGTGTGAATATAAGGTTGGTCTGTGACATTTTTCAAGTAAAGTAAAGTTAACTATGCCTAACTGAGCCTATAACTCTTAGATTATTGCTTGCAACTAAGACGTTAATCAACGTGGGTTTGACGGTTTGAAAACGAGCCCAAAGACGGGTTAAAAAAAATTTTATTTAGGTATTATTAACGTTTATTTCTGCTCAAATTTGTTATTGTACTACACAAAGATACAAGATTCGTTTTTCGTTAGTTATTTATGAATTATCTTATGCGTCTAATATACAGGTTCATAAATAAATATGTAAATCATTAACAAATGAACTAACATCGCATACCTGAATGGATTATTTTCTTGTTTACTAGTCAACACAAATGCTTAATTTTTTTAAATTACATAATTGGACGGCCTATCATGGGTATTATTCGCTCTTTGCTCTGCTTTCCGTTTCCCCCATATGTCACAAACAAAAAACACAAATTAATATCGTATTTTTAGTTTAAATGAATGCATATTCGATAAAACTGGATTAGAAATTAAAATTAATTTAAAAATTTTCCAAATGGGTAAGCTATAGAATAAATTTGTTCTAGCATATAAAAAATAATAAAATTTTACTACAGTGCGAACAGGCTGCGCAAGTCTTCCGGTCACGTTTTGTCCCATGCATCGAACTCAAATCAATTGGTTCCAATGCAGAGCTGTGTCTAATAGCGTGTTTAAGCAAATGATGGAAAAGTATTTTAAATTAACAACAAATTTTGCATTATATTTACAAAAACTACGACTTTCCTATTGCTTTGCGTAGAGGCCGATGCAAATAAGAGTAGCGGACTATAGGTTGATCGTTGTGTGCTGATCGTGGTCATAATTGTTTACGTGTAACAAACACTTAAAAGGTATACATACATATATAGGTATATATATATACACACATATATATATATATATATATATATATATATATATATATATATACATATATATACACAATTACAAATATATAGATAAAATTACAATACAATATATTAAAATAAGCATAATGTTAAAATATTTGATTTTACAAATAAAATATATAAAGAGCAGCCGTATGCTTACAAACACACATACATACAAACGTATCCAATGCGTTTGCGCCCATCTTGCGTAGCATCTGCTTCCTTGAGCATCAACTCACTAATCCACTTGATCACAAAACGAACTTCACTACATGGCATGACGAAAACACCTCCCCCAACTATTATGCTGAGATCGTTCCCAGGACAGTCAGACCTACATACGTAACTGGAACGAACCAGATTTATATTTGGCCAAGGACTGCCACTCCAGCAGTATTCCCACACACTTTCTGGCGAGTTCGTATGCTCTTACAACAACAAGATTATGCCGAAATGCTACGCAAGGGGCTTACAAAAAGGGTCTATACGACTATATATATATGTAATTTCAGCTTAGCTATGTTAAATATTATTTAGTATATATAGTTGACATCTTAAATCGATACATGCATTCATGCGTATTATAAGATATAAGTTCAGCTTTACACAGTGTGCCTTGATTAGTCGAAATTTCTCATTCCTGCTAAATACCTTAGTAAAATATTTAAGTATTTTACTACTAAAATTCTAAATATGTTGCATTATTTTTTTAGTTAAAATTAAATTCAGCAATTACGTTCCGTACGAGAGCGGCGCCTGTCATTGTGATGAGTTTTATCCAGGTAATAATCGGCTCTCATTATTCATTCAATTGAATTAGTGTCAACAGTTGGCCATCAGAGTTTTCAGGGGCATTCAAACGTTTATTCCTAGCAACAGAAAGTAATTTTAGTCAGTCTCATTGTCGCGATGCATTTTGTAATTACTTATATCTTGATTAGAACATGCTTTCTGTTTCCAGGCTTCCTTATCCAACGATAGAATGGATTTACTAGGAAATTAAACAAAAACAATTCACATTTGTTCAATGATTAGACCTATGACCCCAAAAATTCGCTGAAATTGGTTTGTGTATACCTTTGAAAGGTTTAGTCTGATTACGTCACTTCTCAAAATGTTAGAATAGAGTAAAGATCTCTTCGAAATTCGAAAAATTCTCCTGAATAATTAAAGAAACAAAGAGAACAAAAAAACGGAATCAATTACAATTTGGAAAATATACATCTAACCACAAAATCAGGTATACCACAACTACTAATGACGCTTACGTCGTTGACTAACTAATGGTATGTTTGATTTAACTGGGTTTCCACTATTTAACTAGCCAAATGCATTTAACAAGTTAAATAGTGTCAATATTCTAAATACTTGTATATAATCAACTTCGTCTAGGTTAGTAGTTACAATTTGTCTAACAGAGGAAAGTAAAGTTAATGAAAGACAGAAACCAAAAATATCTACAAGTACCAAGTATCAAACAAAATGCAACCATTATCTGCGTTGAACGAAAAAAAAAAAATTTCATCAAATATAACCAAAGGAATTAACAATCCTAGTTGATTGCCTGTTCGGTCATTTGCAAGCAGAGCGTTTCTAGTTGATCTAAACTATTAATGTCGTTCATATTTACAGCAGCAGAATTGGACAAGGAACCTTTGGTAGGGAATTTATCTTTCAGCGACATATTTATATTATTTAACAGTGGCATTGTTGCAGGGGTTGCTAGAGACGAACGTTGGTTGCCGCTATGTGGCTCGATGAATTGGGTCGGTAAATTGCTACAACTATTGGCATTATTGACACTACAACAGTTGGTTTTACTACAATTGTTGCTACCGTTAGCGTTAACATTGCACAGACAGTTCAATAAGTTGCTATTTCGACAGCTGTTGCCAACAGCTGCGGCTGCAGCGGCTAATAGCTGCAACTGTTGCTGCTGCTGTTGGCAAAGTAAATTATTATTTAGCATGCTACTGTTGTTATTTATTAGATGTGAGTGTTGTTGAGGTTGTTGTTGTGGGCCGATCACACCTCCAAGTGCAAGTTCGTCGGTACTAACCATTACAGCTGATGTCATTGTCTGCTTTGTTTGTTGTTGGTGTTGTGCTTGCAGTATATTTTGTTTTTGCTTTGAGGTGTCGCCATTGCCGGCGGCTACATTTCCAACACTTGGGGCAAACGCAGATGGCAAATTAACATTATTACTGCTTTGATTAGTGATCGTTGTTGTAAGACTAGTACGGCGTAGTTGGCTTTCGGTGGACGTTGGCACTACAGGTACAATGCCTTGACCTGGTTTAAAGGTCATTTTTTGGGCTTGCTGTGGTCCTCCAGACACCACTATTAAATTGTTAAGGGATCGCCGATGATGTTGTGGTTGCTGCTGCTGTTGGTGTGAAGGTAGCGCCGGAAAATGAGCATGGTGTGACAGAACTGCAGGTTGCATCTGTTGTTGTTGTTGGGATAATTGTGAATGATGATTTTGATGTTGCTGCTTTCCCTGCTGATGTTGGTTGCTCATGAAATTGGGATATGACGAACTTTTGTATTGCTGCTGCGATACCCCGTTATTGCCGCTGTTATTAGCACCAACGTTTAGGTGAGCGACCTTTTCGAAATCAGCCGGTTGAGTATGGATGCCATGGTGCTGTTGCTGCTGCGCTGAAGGTACGCCGTTGATTGAGAAGTTTAGCGTATCATTCGAATTTTTTCTATGGTTGATGCGGTCATTGCTTCCATTTTTTACGTCACATTTGCGCGATTTACCACCCCACCTGTGTCATTTGTGAATATACAAAATTAAAGACTCAAGAATGTATACAATTATCAAAAGAATTCACTATAAATTTACCTAGGCTTATTTAAATTTCCTACACTTCCATTTTTGACGTGGTGCGCTTTGTGCCCAATCGACATTTTTAGCTTTGACAGTTTGAACTTTAATTCCTTAAGCTGGGTGGATTGGTTCACAAAAGCCTCGTTGTGTATGGAACGGTCAAGAACCCACATCAGTACGTTAATGTTTTCCTCGTCCTGCGACGCGCCAGTGTCGTGTTGAATCATAGAGCTCACTGCAAAACAAATGCATGTTCATGTATAAATTCCAAAGACCGTACCAGTTATGTTCTCTTCAATAGAAGTTTTAATTTAGCCATTAAAATTAGAGCCATATTTTTTTCATACTTTCATCGGTATTTCATGATTTAATTAATTTTTAAATTAGTTATTTTGAAATGTTAATTTTTTCAAACAAAAATAATCGCATTTAGTAGTTTTTTTTTCGGTAAAAAGAAAATCGTTTGGAAGCTTTAAATTTGGCTTTTTATTTTTAGGACCCAATACCCTGGTTGTTTTATTTTTAGATCATAAGAGATTTATCTCCAAAAAATATAAGCCTCAAATAAAGCAGTCGCGATTCCAGTGAAATTCAAAATGTCATCTCTTACCTATATCAACAACTTTCAGAAACCCGAGCGCTACATTGTCTTCGCTTGCTCCACTAGTAAAAGCTTCTACAGGTTTCATGGGAGAGAGTACCATGTTGGCTAAATCCTCTACAGCCGCTTGTATTTTCGTTTGACCATTTCGCAAATCCTGCTCCAGTTTGCTTAAGTGAGGCGAGCGGTCCTTTAGTTTTTCTATGCAGAGTGCTAGCTTGTGCGAAGCGCCTTTGGTGACGCCTAAACCTTGCAAATACTCTTCAGTGATACAAAGCATATCTTCATATGTCATATTCTTGAAGAGATCAATGTACTTATGTAAGCGCAAAGACTTCAACCACAAGCCAATATTTGACATGCCGACATTTCGTGTTTGAAATTTTATATAACCGGGCTTGAAATCATCGAGGCGTGTATCTGAGCCACTATTGGCTAAAACACCACGCTGGTGTTCTATGGAAAGCGAGAAACTTCTAGGCTTATTTGCAAACTGTGCCAAATTTTCAGTGGAATTTGAACAGTTGTCATTGACTGTAATCACCGAAGAATTAGAAGACGACGAAGATGTGGATATTGCTTGTGTAGTAAGGCTATTAGAGCGTCGAGTTTTAAGTGCACCCAGTTTTCCATCTAAGCTCCAGCGAGTCACATCCATCTGCTCATAATTACTTGCCGTCATCGAAGTAAATTCCATTTGGGACTGCAATAGTTTGAAATAATATCATTAGTCCAACAATTACATACATGCACTTTTTAAATTTACCTTTTGCTGTAATTGATTGTTTGCATTTTGTTCATGGCCTGCAGGCACTGAAGCACCATTTTTGCATTCTTCGCTAACGTTGATGGTCACGTGAGGCTCAAAGTCGACGATTTCGGTGCCATTCTTGGAAAAGGATGTATCATGGTCGTCGTTGTTGGGATTATTTGCACTGCTGCTGGCACATAGGCTTGTGTCATTGGCACCACTTGCCACGATGTTTATCATTGGCGTATTATTGCTGTTGCCAAAAAGGCCAGGTATTGCAGTGCCAGCAGTTGCGGCGGCTGCTGCAGCCACTCCATTTACCAATGATGATTCCTCTGGATTTGTGTCACACCCAATGGTTGCGATCCCCAAAGACAAGCCCATCTTGTTTTGACTAGATCCTAATTCGTTTAGATTAATACCATTGAAATTATCACAGAGTTGGTCAGTAATGCTACTGTTTCGCCGATTACTACAACTGCTGCCGCTACTACTTGAGCTTATACCGCTCAAATTATTTAAGCAACTGTTTGAGAACCCACTATCTCTCCGCGGAAAGCTGGACCAGTCCGGGTGTGACTTTGGCTGTGGAAGCGGAGTTTGTTGCACTAAGTGGTGCTGTTTGCTTGGCGGAGCAATGGTTTGCCAATCAATGCTCCTAGGCATTGTATGCGAAGTCGATATGTGCCCTGCTGCCGAACTGCCGGATGATGACATCGAATTGTTCGACATAGATGACGACGATGTTATTGAGGAAACTGAAGCATCCGACCCAGCTGCTATGCTCTGGTTGATGGTATAGTTGTTGGGGTTTTTCGGATCCGTCAACTTATCGGTAGCATGCAAATGATCTTCCAGATGTCGCAACCAAACACTGAGCGAGCTAAAAATTTAATAAAAAAAATACTCATTATCTATTCTAAATAAATATCTATGAAATATAAGCATTACCGGCGGTCTTCGTTACTTATAGCGGGGTGGATGAGTAAGTACGAAAATATTTGTTGTACCAACTCTGTGGGGACCCGCTGATTCATAGTGTCTCTCACTGCTGCTGGAACGAGAGCCAAATAAGCTAACTTGGCGTCATCGTTTCCCGGTTTCAATAGCGGTAACATGTTCAAAACCTCGCACAGTATCTCCTTCTTTTTCTCGTATAATTTGCGCTCATCGCAGTTTGTGATTTGAAAATCGGAACCATAGCATGGCATGGATTCCTTGTCCAAAGAGCCCGATGTCAGAGCGTCCACGGCGTCGTTCAAGTGCAACGTCCTATAGGCGTTTAATAGATTTTGCAAATACGATGGATTGTTCGCATTTATGTCGATGATAACACTACTTAGGTTAGAATCTGAGCCTAAGCTTTGCGTCAGGGCGTGGTCAATAGCGTATTGTAAGAATTTTAAACTAGGATATCTCAGGCGCTTCAGCAGGGCGTATATAACAACTGTTCGTTCGCAATCATTCCATCCTTCAAAAAACCTCGTCACAGTAGTAACCTGTTCACTAAATGTAATTGGACTCTGATTTCGGGCAAAGTCAAATGTTTTAGGAGTTTGGTCATTGGTTCCACACATGTTGTGGCTATTGCCACTATTCTCTCCAGTGGTATACTTCATGTCGGTTTTGATATTTCGTATATTCTTATGATGTAAATTTCCCTACAAATCAACCCGCAAGTTACCAAAAAAAGAATTCAATTAAATACACATGTACATGTATGTATGTATGTACATTCCGTCCCATTTCTGCGAAAATTACAACTTATCACAATACTATGGGTACTAGCGTTAGGAGAACCAGAAATATTAAGTAAAAAATTCGTTTATTGTATCCTAGGGGAAGAAATAAGCATTTTTAATACTCTATACTGACCCTATTGCAGATAAGAGGTTAACACAGAAATTGGACAATATGTACATATGTACTTTGTTTTGTAAATATAAACTTATGTATGTTTTTGTTTTTAAACATTAATTTCATCAAACTTACTGTACAGCGAGTTTACAGAGGGTGATTTTAATGGCAACTTTTAGTTGAATTCAACAATCGTTGGTTCAACCAATTAACAACTACATATTTAAGGGGGCCATTAAAATCAATACGATCCGATTTTTTGTGAACTTGTTGAGTAACTAAAGGTAGGTTAGATAACGAATGTGCCTACACACATCTTTTTAGTTAGTTATAACTGCTTCAAAGATAAAACATTGTGTGTAAAGGCCACTTTTATCAATCAACATTTCGCCATGCAAGGTAGATGTTTTTGCATATTCAGATAATCCTAGTGTTTTAATTGGTTGATTAATAAAATTTGGTTAGAATTCACGTTATTCCTACAAAATCAACCAGTTTATGTTCAGATGCAAGGCAAAAAATCCTCTCAATACAAAATGTAGGTTCGGTTTGGGGATTAGCATAAAATATACTGTGCTGAATTACACACATCTAGCGATTAAAAAACAAAAATGAATACATAAACACTTTCCTGATCAACATTTTTGCAACCGTAGCAGTGTTCGACAACGGCAGTGGATGATCATCGCCCCAACTTTTCTGGCGCAGTTAATTTCGATTGTTTGCTGTTCGTCGATCGAATCGCACTTATCTAATGAACGACAAACAGTGATACCGCTCGCACTCTGATAAAATTAACTTGTCGAGGCATCGCATTTTGCACTCTTTAAGTTTGCTATGCTTTTTATAATGTTACTTTTTTATTATTAAAATTAAATTGTCGGGACCAAAATTGAATAATGAGAATAGTTTGCGCGCCACAATGGCATCCCTTATACATCTACACCTTTATCCACAAATAAATAAATCTAATACATATATTTATGTATGTAGTTCAAATAAAGACAATTTGTATATATGTATGTATGTACGTACATATATCTATAAATAACGGATATATACAGTTTATTTGTTTGCCGCCCAGAAGATTTGCGGCTAATACAGTTTGCATTTCTAATATCATTTTAAATTTTGGAAAATTTTCAATACTTACTTTGACTGCTAATGACTGTCAAAATAATTTAGCAAATGATACGCCTTTTTTTAATTTCTCCAGGAAATTAAAGTCATCCTTTTGAGATTGTGATTGTATTGTATATTGTATATGCGGCAGTCTGTTAGTGTCTCTTTGTCCGCAAATTAAGGTGTTTGTACGACTATTTGGCAAATTTTATTTACACGTTTTCTGACGTTATTTGCATATTTTCTTTTGATCACCACTTAGCATTTATTATATTGCAAACGATTTTTATGGAAAACGTAGAGATCTGCGATCAAGTCGTCGAATTGTTTGCTTTTTCGTTTCCAATTATTTCAGAGGAATATTGCGCAATTATAATGTGTTAAAGTCCTATACGTGTACTTTTGCTAACGCAATGCCTTGCTGAAATCTTTTTAAAACCGACTTCTCGACATGCAAGTACTTAAAGTTATAGTACTTCTACCTCTAATATGACGAGAGTGGCGTTGGCATTAACGGCGCAGTATTAAATGTTCTTTCCTAGGTTCCCTTTTACCTCGATCGTCAAATGCCGTTACCATTTATCTATGGTGGAAAATGCAGTGCTTCCGACGAGTACCTTGCATGCTGTGAAGTAAAACAACGGAAAACGTAAAACTGCGCTCGAAGATTGCACTTAGATTTGTCCTAAATATTTTTCGCAAATTGAACTTCCGCTCTTTGGTAAATACATATGTATGTATTCATGTACTAGGCACAGTCACTACAACATTAATTGCAGCACGCACTAATTTCGTTGTTGTTACTGTTTGCATATATATAGATATGTTGGTTATTACTGATTTTTGATACCAAAATTTCTTCCAACGTCTATCTACGTTTTCCCAATTCGTTTTTAAGGATACTGATTTATCGTATTGATGGCTTATGCTTTGGTTTTGTTGATAAAATTATATTTTGTTTAAATTTGTTGTAATATTTCTTTGTTACAAAAATTTCAGCACAAAACGCACTCGGTGAAAACCTTGAATAATTTCATCGCGTTTTCTTTGTAATGTATTCCGATTAATCCGCCCTGTCGTCATGTAGACGCGATATGCTTACTTTACAAAGTAATTTTTCTATCAAACATTTCCACTCGAGTTAAATGTTTCGATGATAAGATTACCACTTCGGACTCGCCAATAACTTTGTTTTCTAATTTTACCAACATATTTCCATTTTAAAGCCAATGAAATTTTTTCTCACTCGTAGAAAGTCCCAGTCCAACAAAAGTTTGACAAGTCGCGTACCAAAATTGTATAGGGTTGCATTCTTATAGTGTTGGTAAAAAGTGATGATTTCCAGCGGAATCTGGTGAGAATCTGGGTAAAACAGGGTGAGAACCCGTGTTTATCAACCTGTACTTCCGTAAGTGCATCCTTTTAATTTCCGGTAGTGCCTTCCAATGGAATTTTTCGCGAAATTTGGCCTTATGTTTGGTTGCGAAATCGCTGTGACAGGAACTGGTAACATTTTTTGGTAATACAATTTTCCGGTTACAAAATCTTCGGTAACGTACAGAATATACCTGCAAGAGTAGCATTTAGAGCTAAATGTGCTTTGTGAAGTGTGAATCTGTGATATGATTTCGGTTAAACATCGAACGGTTTTTTTTATAGAAAAATACAAAAAAAAATTATCTCGATAAACCTTACGAATATTTAAATAAATCAATATGTGGTCATTTGTTTGAGTCACTGTATCTACTCTTTATATATATATTGTTCTTGAAAACTTTTAATATATAATATTCATAAATGGGATTTTCGAATTTTAAAATGGGATAAACAGGGCATGAACCAAAAATACAAGATCACGTAAGAACGCGACGTTGCATTTGTAACTGGTTTTGAGAAAAAAGTTTGCGAAAGCGGGTTCGTCAGCTGAGCATTTGTTTACATCACAAGCACCACTATTTTACACTTTTATTCAAGTAAAGAAGAGTTAATTTAACATGACAACACATTTTAAAGCATTTTGTTGCATCATTTTACCTAAATTGTGCGTTTAAAGTGGCTGACAATAATTTTGGCTAATTTTGGTTTTCGTTGTTTTCTGTGCTTTGTTTACTTTTCGCTCGTTTTCCAGTGAAACAAGATGGCGTAGAACCCGCTAAAAAAAATCGACTTTTTTCACTCTCTTGTTCTTACGTGATCTTGTGTCTTTCGTTCATGTAAACAGGGCGTTTTTCAAAGGAGAATGGGATTTCTGTACCTTTTGAGTTGGCAGCACTGCTTGGCACTCAATGTAGCACTTCACGGTAGAGCTGGCAGCCCTGGTCATATTTAGTAATTTTTTATACAATTTGTACACAGTACACATAAAGGCATTGAAGACAGGAAAAATTGAGTAATAGTTTAGCAAAAAGCCGAATGGAATATCCAACATGTGATTTGAACGGTCTTGGAAGCATTATATTTATGCAAAATTGATTTGATAGCAACACTAGTCTCTCCAGAACTCCCATATCAGTTTAGATAAGAGAATGTTCGTTCCTTCTGAATCGCAAAAAAAGTCCTTTTTGGAGCACACCAAAGCTGCGAGAGAGGAGCGTGCATTGGAGAAACGTCGTGAAGGGGCAGCTGTGCGAATACAGGCTCAATGGAAAGGATATGTGACTCGTAGGCAGTATCACAATCAAATAATGTAAGTATTTGTGACCTTATAACTTGATTACTTCACTATAATACACATGTACATAGATCCGATTTAGATAATTTGATAGCGGCAGAAGGAAATGAAAAGGATGTTGAGCTTATGCCAGCAATAACTGTGTATCCTGTTGTACGCCGGTTCCTCACGTATTTTCAAAGCAAAAAGCAAGCGCTCGAGGGTGAACAGTCGCGTGAGAGGTTTGAATGTTTATGTCGGTATCTAAATAAAGCCATGGAAACCGATTCTCCAAAAATGTCATACGCAGCTTTATGTTTGCATAAAGATAAGAGGTGATTTGGAAGGAAATAATACGCCGCTTCAAAATTGGATAAGTCAATTATTTTATTTATAAATCATTTTTAGTTTGCCATGGCTGGCGCACATCAAATCATTACTCAGTCTGTGCTGTCAAATGTTGCAGGACCTTAAGCCGGGTAGGCATAGTATTTAACTTTATAATCATTTAACTTTTGCAATTTTCGTAAACAGAAAATCATACAGATAGTATTTCTTTGGCACTCTACTTGCACACTTTGGTGGTTTTTACATCGCCAAAATCGTGGGGCATTCTTCGAAGTAAGCAATTCGAAAAATTACAACCCGCTTTACAGAAAATATGCTGCAATATTCAGGGTAAATTAGTACAAAATGGATTTTTCAAAACAATGCGTGTAAGTTGGGAAAATTTTTATGTATTTCGATATGGCTTTAAGATACATATGTACGTGTTGTTATGTTCCCATAAATTATTTTCTTTCAACAGTCGATTATATTAAAAGGCACAGCACGCGAAGACCTTTCCATTAAACCTGTATCGATCAAAGCTATAATGACTCTGGCTACACGCCCTCTAATTGATGGCGATTTCAGTCGCAATTTACTCGCTAAATTTTTGGGTGAAATCTTATCTGTTCCGGCACTGGTGTACCATCTGAATATAATCACTCCGCAATGCATAGAACAACTTACATCAATGGAGATACTAAAACGTTTCCTTCAAGCTGCCGATGACGCGACCTTTTTTTCTGAATTTACAAACAGCATGCCAGTGAGTCTTTGTTTAAAAAAAATAAAGCCTATTTTAATTTTCTTCCCACATTTCTCAGGGAACTAAATTGCTAGCATTTTTGGCGAACGTTGTCAATCTATTTACAATTGAAAGTCCTCTAGAAGCAAAAGAGCTCGCGTATCCCCTTTTTACGGTAAATATTTAGGGAAATGTTTACTTACATATATGCCCACTGTTTTTGGGTTAGTGGGCGGAGGGGGTGTGGCTCTTGATATCCAACCCAATAGAAAGAGCACAGTTCAAACTTCGTAAAAAGTCACACCTGACCCTTCGAAACCCTCCTCAGACCACCTGGCAACCATTGGAAAATGGTCTAAAACTAGAATTTTTGACACCGGTTAATATAAACACGGTAATCATCAGTATTTTTGAAGAATATATATATAGAATATAACTTTCACACAAACATTTAAAGCAGGGTTTCCTAAACTCTTAAGATGATGGAATCCTTACAAATCACCTTTCACTTTATCTAACCCCATATCAAATTACTAAAAATCTAAGGCAGTACAATATAAATATGAATAAAAACTTTTACTAGAAATAGTATGCATACTTTATATTTTAATGTGAAGAATGAAATTATTAAACTGTTAACTATTGCATGCATGTATGCGCATTTCTGGGGTAGCATCCAATTTTCGTCATGAATTTGGTTTTTGTATAAGGGTCATTCCATTGAAAAGAGGAAAACTACATAAATTTAAATATGCCCTAATTATCTCTATTTTAGTAGTAACCTCTGTTTAAATGACTACATTTCATTAACCTGTGGGAAAATATTAAACAAATCAAAAGAAGTTGTAATTTTTGTATATAGAAACTTTTATTTCATGCATAAGTACTTAACACCAGCCACAAGGAGATGTTCCAGCAGTCACAACTTTAAATATTTTCTATAAAGATTATATAAACCTAATTTTTATTGAAAACGAAAGCGTATAACTCATATTTCACGACACAAATACATCGTTCGTGCAAATTAAGTGTTTTGGCTTTCATATTTGGTTCATCTTTGAGTGCACAAGGGTAAAATAGAGTTATTTTCAATTTCCCACCAGTCACATTCATTCAAATGATAGTTACATAAAACTAAGAAATCGTTTGGTATTTTTGTTAAAGCAATTTTATACATTAGTCATCATTCTACGTTCCGACGACATAGTTAAAATTCACAATTGATCACATTCGCATATGTATAGTGTTTTAAATGTTGGTACTTTTTCGGCTTATTTTGTACACTTTTTTTTAGTCATTTGGTACAAAATTAAAAAACTCATTTATCATCCCTGATACAGAGTATATTAGAGAAAATCTTGTCCAAATCCGTTCAGTAGTTTTCGAGATTACCGCGTATCTCGACTTTCGTTTATATTATGTATAGATTTATAAATACGGTTTTACAAAATATCTCGACCCTGGCGCCACCTAACGACACCATTTTTGGCAAAAATGTTTCTGCTTAAATAACCAGTATATGTATATTATAAATAGCAGCCAAATCGGCCTATAAATAAGTTAGATATAGGACTTTTAATTTTTTACGCGGTCTACTTTTTGATGGAAACACCCATATTTCAAACCGAATTCTTAATAAATTAATGACCGAAAATTACAAAATTAGGTTTGAAAATAAAGTTTTGATCCTTGACTACAAGTATGTGGATCGGGTCGCCCATTCAGATACAATATCCCGAAATCATTGGGCAAATCACTAAATTGGCTACAGAATATTTAAAATAGTCTCGTTTATAGCTTTAAAAATTAATTGAAAATTTTTGTTAAAAGAATGCAACTACAGTGCTTCTGGAAAATATACCCAACACAGTATCTAGTAAAGGAGTATTCACGCAATGGCATGAACTTCTTGGCTGGCATACTCCCTCGTTGGATCCGGCACAAAATCAAAATGTAGCTTTGATCAAAAAACAGTTTCATTTGCTATGGGGTCATCGATGCATCAAGGTCTTGTTAGTAGACTTACTTCGAAACATTAATGCGACCTACGAACGAATAGAATTTCAACCACCGGCACATGCATCTACTAGCAACTTAATCCGACGAGCATTGGATCGCGGCTCAACACGAGGAAACTTCACAAGAGGCAGCAGAACATGGCGTCGGCTGGATGGCAATGAAGTCGAACAAGTGTCGCGCGTCTGTGCAATGTTTTATGCTGCGCTAAATACGCTTTCACAACTAAGGCTAGATATATTAACAGGTAAACAGAAAACTATATTCCTCCAAGATGATTATCTTGAATTTAGATATACATACATATTTCTATGGTATTGTTTTATTATCAAAAAATTGTCTCCTTATGGCTTTCA